TTTTTGTTACAAAACTTCTACCTTTACAATTATGACAGTCGCTATTAGTCATGATGACAATTATTCACTATTGAATCATATGAATCTTATTCCCATCTCTTTTCACCAGACCCATCTAGACCAGATGAAAACTATCCAGTGGGGACTCTTTCTCTCCTGCCCCCACACTCTTAAACGATAGTCCCTATTGAAACCTTGTAAGCCAGTACTTAGTGCCTTTATTGCCCCTTCATTTTAGGTAGCCAATGTCTAATTTGCCCATCCCTATCTACCCTGTGTACGGAGGGGATAACATTGATACTTGATGTGAAGACTCCTTCCCTCTCTGTTGGTATTTAGAATTACTACCTCCATGAGTATAGGTCAGGTTCATCAAATTGTAACAATTTACCCTGTTTCCTTTATAAATATATATACATATATATAATTTTATTTTTTGTAATCTTCCTCTAGTCAAATTCTGATTTTCAAGCCATCAGGGCTAGGTCAAATGGGTGCTGTCTGCAAGTTTGGGAGTTCTTGTGCATCTCCCCTCACTTCATATTAGCTGAATGTTTCACTCTCAGCTCTAGTCCTCTGTGGCTATGTCCTTGTCCATGGCTCAAGTGTCTCCAGGTTTCACCACACTTTGGACCAACCAGCCCTTCCTCTTCTCTCTCTCTTCTCCAGGTCAACAGGAGTCAATGGACTATGGTTGAACTCAGCCCATTTCTTCATTGATGCCTTTCCTCCTCTTCCACTCACCAGTAGACCAATGTGGTTGCCAGCAAGCTTACATGTCTGTTCATGTGTTCCCTTTGAGTTTCAGTCTTAGAGGGGAGTTTGTTGAAGGAACTTGATTGCTTGCCTTGATGACTTCCTAGCAAACAGCTTGCTTATTCTTGTAGTAGCCAGTCATGCTGAATTTTTGTTTGGGGTTTTTCCTGATGCTCTTTCTTTGAAGATGTATCTTCTGTTGCTCTAGCTGTTTCAGGCGGGTCTGCTTGTCCTTGCTAGTGGGAATGTCCCACCTCATAAAGTTCTGGATAGGACTCAGGATTCCTCCTAAGGTCCTATACTCTGTAAAGGCTTTGCATGAGGCCTATTTCACTGAGGCAAGTTCTAGAACCCCTTTGAGGTATTCCAATCAGTTATAGGCTGAAGACAGGCTGTAATCATGTTTCCCAACATTCCTTTCTATCCCACTCAAGTGTCTATTTTACAATAGTAGGCAAAGGAAACTGATATTCCATAAGACAGTCAAACTTTTTAGTATTATTTCCTCTCTTCAAACTATGCCTAGATCCCTGTATCCCAGAGCCTGTTGTTCCAAGTTTGAGCATGCATCACTATTTACCTCTGTCACACTAGGCCATGCAAACCTGCCTCAGTGTTCTGCTATCTACCTTGTTCTTCCACCTCCTCCCCCTTCTTGTATTGTCCTCCTCAACAGCTGAACTAAACTCCCCATCCCAATCCCACTGTTGTGGTTACCTTATATTCCATTTACTCTTCCCTCCATTTAAGGCAGTCTATTTTATCCTGTAATCTACCTGACCTTCTCACCACCTGGATCTCTGTTCCTCTGTGTTTATCTTCTTTCAGATTTTAATTGTTTTGATCATAGACTGACCTCCCAGATCCTCTGTTCTTATCATTTTATTCTGTTCTTGACTCTTCCATTTGTCGATTGACTTCAGAATTATGCTGCCGCATACATCATTCTCTGGTTGTTGTTTGTTCTTGTTAGTTCTCAGTCCACAGAACTTCCTTTAGGATGTTTTTCATAGCAGGGTTGGCTTTGGCAAAATCCCTTAGCTTCTGTTTATCCTGGAATGTTTTGATTATACCATCGTATTTGATTGACAGCTCTGCTAAGTAGAGGCTTCTTGGTTGGCATTTTTTTTTTTTTTTCTTTCAGGGTTTTATATATGTCTCCATTTCCTTCTTGCCTGCATGGTTTCTGTTGAGAGATCCAAGCTTAACTTGATTTGCTTGCCTTTGTATGTTATACTTCTCTTTTCCCTAGCTGCTTTCAGGAGTCTATCTTTATCTTTGATTTTGGAGAACTTGATTATTATATGTCTTGGTGATTGTCTTCTAGGGTCTATCCTTCCTGGGATTCGTAGAGCTTCTTGAATGCTTATCTTTTCACTTTTCAGGATGTTAGAGAAGCTTTCTTCCAGCAGCTCTTCAAATATCTCCTCTGTGGACTTGTCTGATTCTTCCTGTTCCAGAATGCGGATAATTCCTAAGTTATTCCTCTTTATGTTGTCCAACATGACTCTTAGGCCTTCTTCTAATTTTTTTATTTTTTCTTGTGCTTGCTCTTGTATCATAGTAGTGTTGAGAGATTTATCTTCTAGTTTACTAGTTCTGGCTTTTAACTCTTCAGCTTTACTTCTTTGCCCTATCAGTGTATTGTCCATTTCTGATATTCTATTATTAATCATTTGGTCCTCTATCTGTAGGTTTTGAATTGTTTCCAATGCTGTATCTATCTTATTTGATTGTTCCTGTAGCACTTTCCTGACTTCTTCCTTATTTTTCTCAACTCCATTGCATAGTGTCTTGATACATTTTATAACCATTTTTCTTAATTCCTTTTTAGGTATTTCCAAAGCCTGCCCATCTTCCAGTATGGAGTGTAGGTCTACTTCCAGCTCATATGCCTCAGTCACTTTATCTTGTTTCTGGACATGTGCTGATATGGTCATCTGTTTCTGTTTTTTGGGCCTATTCAGGAGTTATCTGTGGCCTTAATACTTAGATGGGTGTGTGTTTTTGTATTTTTTATGCTTTCTGATTGCCTCTGGGTAGATGTGTTCAGGAGATGGTCTTCCCTTTTCACTCTTCTTCCTGAGAAATTTCAAGATGCCACTGTTGGTCGTTGGCACATGACTCGGGATTTAAATTTCAGCCTATTTCTTTTTTTGTCTGCCTGTCCCGCTCCACAATCCCCATTCATGCCTTTTTCCTATTAATAAACAGTTCAGGGCCAGCTGTGATTGTTTTGCACTGTCATTTGGTTTTAACTGGAAACTGTCACTTTAAATTTCGAGGGGATCTGTACGCTTGCGTAGTAGAACTCTCTGGGGTTGGGGTTGGGGTGTCTATTCACTCAGGCACCCCCTCTACTCACCAGAATGGAAGTGCACAGACAGCAAGAGACCAATGAACAGATACAAAAAAAAGAATGTCCACATCTTTATCTCTGAAGTTCTGTCAGGCGTCCGTGTCTGCTCTGATCCTTCCCCCGCTTGGTCTCACCTAAGATGGCAGCTCCGGAAGCAGCTGAGTGTCTTAAATTAGAAAGCAATGGATTTTTTGCTTCTGCTACAAATTTCCCTAGCTGTAAACCTTCCAAACGTCTAAATATTCCTTTATATGTGTTTCAGAGTTCTGGGACCATCCTGAGCCTGCTTGGTCAGGTATTCTGTGTTGTTGCTAATAGAGCTCCTCACTGCACTTCCACCCAATCCTCCATCTTGTTTGTTTTCCTAAAAAGTTTTTAATTTGATTTTCGAATATCTCTCAGAATGTTAGGATTGAATTAAGGAGGTGACAGTGGAGATAAGAGAAGCACCTGGTTGGAGAGAGAGTTAAATAGATTTATCCATGTATTTGGAATTATAGGAGAGGAATCAAAAATAATGCTCTGGTTTCTGGCTTCAGCAACTGGGACCAATTTACTGAGTTAAGCAAGGCTTGGGAAGGGACTGGTTTACAGGGAAAATCATGAGTCTTGCTCACTGTAAGATGTATATGAGATATCTAAGTAGAGGTCCAGTAGGCTGCTGAATATGAGATCTAGAGAGAAGAGAGGTCTGAGCTGAAGTTAGAAATTTGAGAGGGGCATTAGTACATAAATAGTATTTGAAGTTTCCTCGCAACCCCTGTTCATTTATTCTACAAATATTTATTAGATAATTCTAAGTCTTAGGGATGCAGAAGTGAAAAAGGCCTATCTTTATCCTTGTGTAACATACACTCAGTGCAGCAGCTTGTATATAGAGAAAGGATAGGATGGCGCCTTTGTCTAGATAAGCTCAACATGGGAGGTCACAATGTATACTTTGTGATGAGGTCTCTGATACAACTGGGCAGTAATGAAGGACCCTACTGACTGATAATCCCTCCTCCTGCAGGGAGGATACAGGACACACCACACGCTGTCTCTCTGCTCTCGCGGCTTCCATTCCAGACCATCAGAGCCACCTTTGAGGTGAACAAATGGATAGGGAGACAGTTGATGAGGGCCAGGGAGGAGGTATGGTATGAAGGATAGAAGGATTTTGGGGGTGTCTGTGGCTTCAGCTCTTCATCCTTCCCATTTCCAGGTAGACAAACCAGCTTGTTGCCAGTCACGAGCCGTGGCCTAGATCAGATATGAGGCGTTGGTGGCAGATTTTTGTCCTGTGGGTCTTCTGTGTGCTCATTCTGTGGCTAGTGGTTCCCTGCCTGGATCTGACGCCTAAATCAGTTCCCCAGGAAGAACTGATGCACTTGGTAACATGGTGTTACAGTTGTCCTTGGTTCAAATTCAGGAAAGATGCTTGCTCTTCTGGAACCCTCAACTGCTCCCCTTGCCACCAAATAGCTGGAGAATCCAACTGGTTTGATGCAAGCTACAAGAGGACTGTGGAGTTCCTGAAGGGAGCAAAAGAGTCTGTGAGCTCAGATGCAGTGCTCTGGTGGTTGGTCAGTGACCAGCATTTGGTCCAGTCCCATCTCTTATCTACCCAGGGCCAGCAGCCAAAACCTCCAGCCTCAGCCTTGACTTAGTGCAGTTCCCTTCCTCACAACTCCAACCCTTGACCTCCACCCCTGGTCCCATGGGCTGCTCTCACCAACCCCATTTTGTTTTCTGTCCACTGGCTGCTGATACTGGTCCCCAGCCCTAAGTCTCCTTCCTCTGCTCTTTCTAGGACCTGAGCTCAGAAAGCAAGCTTAGACACATGTGGAGGAAACTGCTGACAGTGATTCCCAGACAATTGGGCAGCCATTTTGCTCTCTACTGTAGGACTTGTGTGGTGATGGGGAGCTCGCAGATCGTGTGGGGCTCCAATCACAGCATCAGCCAATATGCCAGGTGGGTGCTGAGGAAATGTCAGGGAGCAGAACAGCCAGGCAACCCACTCCTACCCCGAGTTCTGTCAGCTTCTTCCCTTCTCAGGATGAAGCAGGCTTCTGCCCAGGGCTTTGAGAAGGATGTGGGGAACCGAACCACGGGGTGCATCAACTATCCCAGGAACACTGATCATCAAGATTCCCGAAGTCAGCTGTTGCTGCTGTTGCTGAAGCTGTCCGATCTGGCATGGCCCCCAGACACCCTGAGTGAGGAAGTGGTGGTCTGGGAACACAGAAATTCTTGGTATGGGGTAAGGGGAAGCCACCCCAGGTGAAGATAGCGAAGGTTCTAGGGAGAACCTCTGCTGGTTCATTGTGGGGCAACTCCAGGACTTTTCTAAGCCTTGGGGGCTACTGAAACTCCCCTATCTCCCATTTTCCCTTAGATTTCAGAAGATTCCAGTTCCCCAGTAGAGTGGAAGACCACAAAGATAAGGTTAGGGGAAAGGGAAGGAGTAGGCTGTAGCCCTAGGTCAGCCCCCTCCCTCTCTTTCCCAAATCCTGGTGATTCCCATCATCCTCCACAAATACACACAGGGCAATTAGTTCAATGACCAGAGTAAGTACTCATCCTTGGGGCTGGTGGCTCTGTTCCATGCCTTGCACATCCATCTGTGACCAGGTAAGAAAGATTCTTGTTCCTTCCTCATTTAAAACTTATGTTCCCCAATGCCTCTAGCATAGAGTCAAAACATTCTACCTGGCTATGACTTCTGGCTATGACCGGACTGTGGACAGTTTAAACCCACCAGCTGCTTCTTGGAAACCCTATACAGGTTCACTATGAGTTGGAACTGACTCGCTGGCACTTAACAACAACATTCACACCTCAGAAACGTCAACCATTCAAGATTAAAAGGGTAGCATTTACTTGAGAACAAAAATTCAGAAGGGCTGGGAAAGAAGAAGGAATGGAAATAAGGATCTCAAGGAGGAGGTGGGATACATGATGTTACAATGAGGGGATGGCAATCATTGAGATTAGACAAAGTGTATGGTTTGTGGAAAGAAAATCTGATGATCTGCTCTGTATGCCTTCACTCAATTCACAACAAAGAGTTTTAAAAAATAACACCAACAGGTAGATGTTTTATAGTAAGGAGGGGGGTGATTAACTTTCCAGTCTAGGAGCAGAGGTCCCTAGGACCATCAAGGGAGAAGAGCAGATAGCGGGACCCTACCCAGAGAAGCAGTGATGCCTGAAATGGAGGCAGAGATGATGACGTGGAGTGATGGAGCAGCTGGAGACTTTAGATCCAGAGAGGGAGAGCGACTATGTGCTGAAGACCTGGGGGGCATGGGGGGAAGGATTGCAGGGTATACCCTTTGGTTGGTTGATGATGCATGGAGGGGATTGTAACCATGGCAATGAGACAATATATGATAGAATGAATGTAAAATTAATGTTCTCCCATGTAAACTATCACATAATTCACAATAAAACATTTAAGGAAAAAAAAAGTGAAAAAACAACAACAACATAAATTCTATGTGGGTGTCAAGATCAAGCTCCTCCCCTCAGACTCTCAGGCTCACATGCTGGACTTCTTGGAGTTCCCCAAACACAACAGCTGCCCCGTGACTTCTAACACGCTGTTCCTTTTAAAAGCCTGAAATGCCTTTCTCTTATCTCCCTGGGGGAATCTTCTCTTTGCTTTCATTTTGAATTATAGCAATTAGCTGGTAAAACCCCTTTCCCTTTTTAAATTTTATTGTGGTAAAATAGATATAAGAAAAATGATGCTATTTTCACCATAGTGTCACCATAGTGACACTAATTGCATCCCCACAATGTTGCACAGTCATGACAACTATTTTATTCCAAAAGTTTTCATCACCCTAAACAGCCAGTTGAGCCTGTCTTTTCTGGGCCCTGGGGAGTCATTTTGTGAATGTGCTCTCTTACTGTGTCCAGCGTCTGTCTTCCCAGGAGAAGGTGAAGAACATTTCCCCTCCCAGCTCCAGGAGGCAGTCCAGCACACTAGATGTTGAGTGAGGGCAAATAAGGGCAAAGACAGATTCAGTCAGATGACTCACACACTCCTCTCTCATCCACCAGGTGACCTTCTTTAGTTTTGACTCAGAAAAGCGAGGGAAGCGATTCCATTATTGGAAGGCTAGTCATTGGACCAATGGCTCCAGGGTGATACTGCCCAGACATGGTGCAGAAGCAGGAATGGAGGCTGTCCATCAGCTAAAATATGCGGGCATGCTCAGTGCCCCCAGCAAGCTCTCATCCTTTGGGTTCGAATGCAGAAGAGTCTTGGAATGGCAGAAGCAGCAGGAGTGTGGGGGCTTTAAGGGTTAAAAGGCAAGAAGAAATGGTTGGGAGATCAATCTGATATTGAATAAAGTTCTGGCTTGATTCTCTTACCTGAAAGTACTCGTAGCATGTGAGCAAAGAAGGGCTAGGTTTGATTTCCAAATATCAGAGGCAATAATCCTTGGACTAGGCAGATGGGGTAAATTGAGAATGAATCCCATGCAAAGTAAAACCTTGAGTTCTTGGGGTGGCTTCCCACCTTTTGCCCCTTGGCCACTCAAAGAAAAGAGACAAATCTCCTTGTGGCGTCCTACATTGGTGGATTTTTTTTTTCTAACTCAGATTTTCTCTAGAGGTTCAGCTCTTTGAGGGTCCCAGTTTTTTGTAGCTGGCCTCATTTCCAATTTCAATACCCACATGGGCAAGAAACAACAAAAAAATCTCAAGCCTGTTGCCAAGGAGTCTAATTCATTAGCAATGGTACAGGACAGAGTAGAACTGCCCCAGAGGGTTTCCAAAGCTGTCGTCTTTACAGGGAGGAGAGTGATGGCTTCATACAATAAACACTGAACTGCAAACCACAAGGAAGGTGGTTCATGCTCACCAGTTGTTCCATGGGAAAAAGTTGACGCTTTCTGCTCCAGCAAAAATTTAAAGCCTAGGAAACTCTATGTAGGGTTACTATGAGTCGAGCCAGAACTAACTTGAGGGCACTTAACAACAACAGTCCTCACAGGACCAAACTGACTTGAGGAGTGGCTGCTGGGTTTGGACCTCTGACCTTTCAGTTAGCAGCTGAGTGCTTAAGCATCATGCTACCAGGGCTCCTTACATTGTTTTTGGTTTCAACTCATAGTGACCTGCAACCCGTGACCCTATAAGGTTTCTGAGGCTATAAATCTTTGTGGGAGCAGAAAGTCTCATTTTTCTCTCACAGAGCAGCTGGTGGACTTGAGGCACCAATTTTGTGATTCCCAGTACAATTCTTACCCTGCAGTGCTACCGCACTCCCTATGTAGACATTGTTGTTGTTGAATACCCTAGAGTCGGTTCCAATTCATAGTGACTCTGTATAGCATTTCCAAGGCTTTAAATCTTTGTGGGAGAAGAGTTTTATCTTTCTCCCACAGAGGGGCTGGTGGGCTGGAACCGCTGACCTTGTGGATTTTGTTGTTGTTGTTGTTAAGTGCCATCGAGTCGGGTCCGACCCATAGCGACCCTGTACAGGGTTTCCGAGGGTTGTGGATTTTAGTTCAGTGCTTATCGTATGGAGCCACTGTACTCCAAACCCCTAAATTCCTTTGTGCCAGACAGAAATTTCCAGCTTATTTTTTCAATTTTCTCTTGTCTGGTATCTGGAGATATCCTGTTTTTCTTTCACTCTGCATTTAAAATAATTATTAAAATTATATATGTCGTTAAGTGCTGTCAGGTTGGTTCGAACTCTAGCAACCCTGTATAGAGTTTCCAAGGACCAGCTGGTGAGTTTGAACCGCCAACCTTGTGGTTCAAAACAAACTTGCAGTCCAGCACTTGCTTTATCCCAGTGCCACACTAGAACTCTATATGTGTATATATATATATACTTGTAAATTTTCTGGTTACCTCAGGAAGGATCACAAGACACTAAGAATGGTATTGCGGGGGGTGGGTGGAGACTGGGTAATTAGGGAACAAGAGACTCTTTTCATTTACTTTTTGTATCTTTTGGATTATGTAAAGACACATATTATCCATTTGAAAATATAGTTCAAAATGTTTAAATTTTATTTTGGTCCAGCATTTCTGGGTGTTTGTAGTGGAAAGGTTTACAGGTTATCTTTGTGTGTTGATGTGTGTTTGTAAAAATACAAGGGTTAGTAAAAAAATTATCCACACTCCAGTTATATTAAAATGTCCATCCTTGTCCACGGCTGGTGACAACATCGAGCATGCATGTGAAATGATTCTGAGGAAGAGATTAGTGAAAGTAGATTATGTGGCAAATCAGTCATGGCTCTGCCTATGAAATAATCCACCACAGACTTCAGTTTCAAAAAGTTTGTGTAAGATGAGTACCGAAACAGCTCATGTAAGAGCATAAATAGAAGCATTTGGGCATCTGCAAACAAAATTTGGATGGATACTCAAAGAAAGGTAAAAGCTTCTTAAAAAAAATAGTTACTGGTGATGAGACATGGATTCATCACTATGAACCTGATAGTAAATGGCAGAGCAGTTGCTGACCAAGAAAAAGTTCAAAAGTCAACCGTCAGCTGGAAAATTGATGTTTACATTTTTCTGGGATTCTCAAGGGCCAGTATTGGAACACTGCCATGAAAATGGCTCCCTGAAGAGTTGAAGCTTAAACTTTAGATTAGAGGACTGATATCCAAGGGTATTGTGATCTTGCATGACAATGCACGTCCTAACACCTCTGCCCACACTGTTGACACTGTGCAAAAACTTTATTTTGAGGTGTTAAAGCATGCTCCCTATAGTCCTTGATCTTGCTCCACTGGACTTTCTCTGTTTGGTCCT